ATGATTTTCAAAGTAAGGGCTCACTCCTGTCGAAAACAGGCGTTGTTAGCTACTGCCTCAGGCGCTGTTAATGTCTTCGATATCATCCATCTACGACACTCGTCGTACCAGATACCCTACACTCTAGATAATCGACCGAAATCGTGCGTCCCCCATCCCATAGCGTGTGGCCCAGGACTTATATTTATTTAGCGCCGCTTTGGATGTTTCAATACTTCCCGATAAGCTGAATTATGTCCTAATTGGATATACAGGTATCTTCTTCTGATTTATCTCCTTATTATGGCTTGTAATTCTCCTAAAAATAAGATGGTGTGGTTTTATGCGATATGGTACATATTGTTTCATTCGTGAACTATTGATAATAATCATATATTTATGGAAGACATCTCGCACGAAAGCCAAAAGTTTCATTCGAAATTACAATGTCACCGGAGTAGGTTCAAATTTACCTCTGATAAACAACCCTCTTAACGGACATTTCTCAGAAATCTGCTGCTTTTATGACGCTGTCACTTCATCCCACCGGCCACTATTTTTCTGCAGGATACGAAGACGGCTTCGTCTCTGTTTGGGACCTTAATGATTCCAAGCAAGTGTGGACAGGCACAGCTGATGGCAAAATACATCAAGTCACAGAGGCCGATGGATTTCAGACCCAACGAGAACCAATATTCAAAATGGATTGGATATACTCCGAAGGTCGCGAGGGCATTTCTAAGTCTTGGCTTGTTATTCTTGGAGGACAAACACTCTCCGGTCCTCAAATGGACGGTGTTACCGTTTTGGAATTTGATTCAACACATTTTAACGCAGGTTCCTCGAACACGGCATGCCGTTCCTATGTTTATCCCTCCACCCAACCTGTTCAAGATTTTTCTATAGTGCTTGACGCGAAGGACCGTATTTCTAGACGTATATTACTCATTTCTGGAGATGGCAATCGAGCAGCATCCATTGATGCATTCGATTTTCTCCCGACGGTTTCTGAAGGTTACCTCTCCCAAGAAGACAAAACAGTTGAACTGGATTTTGTAACTGAGCTCGAGGAGTCAGAAGAAAGATCGCGGGATCTGGATTCCACTCTTGAAGAGTTCAAAACTGGTTTGGAAGATCTAGATGAATCGTCCCGCACAACCGTTTCATTGAAACATCTCCCCCTACCTTATCCCCTATCATATTCTGGCGTCACTTCTAATATAAAAGCAGAGATGGTGAGTTTGGACCAGGAAGAGTATATGAGTCTGGTGGGAAAACCAGTCTCTGATAGTGATGTGCGTGTTTTTCATGCTCGAGCCTGCAACCCTCTTATCTAATTTACAGACAATATTTCGCCTCATGATCACGTACCATATAGACTCTTCCGTCAGATTCTATGATCTTAGTCTTACCAGAAATCTAAATCTATGTCGTCATCCATATTTACTCGACCATCTGACTATTTACATCCTTGAAATTCCAGAGATTGCTCTTCGACCCGATATTGGCACTATTCACATAACGGATATCATATTTGCCAGAAAATCACTGGAATGCATTGTTCAATTGTCTACGGGGGAGCTTGTGGTATTTGGTCTAGGGATCCGCCAACGAACCCAGGATGTCTTGGACGATGAACTAGTTGATATCAGCGATGTTCGAGACCTTGGGCAAATTTTTAGTTCGCGGTTTATCTTGAAACCTCAAAGAGGTGATCCCGCAATTGTATGCATATCGGACATAGGTATTTTATTGCACCGGTTTGACATGGTTAATTGGCTAATGTCTACCTGTAGGTTTTCTGGCCGTAGCATATCAGTATGATTATATTGTAGTAGTTGATATGCGAGGTCCTCGGATCATATTGCGCGAGATGCCTGGCGGATCTTACCTGAAAAGCGCCCCAGAAAATACGATCAAATCGTTAAATTGGATTATTTCCGGTATCGGAGACGGTATGTAATATTTCGGTTCTACTTCTCAGCATCTAACGCCACTTCCCATAGATCATATACCTAGGCCTAGGCTCGTAGCTGTGAAGTCTGACGGGTCTATATTGATCTATACCCTCACACGCGAAGAAGGAACCTGGATCATTGATACCCCCCACACCATTCATCACACCCATCACACCTTTTTGGCGGACTCGGATCCTATAATGTCTGTTGTTCTGGATTCCCAAACTGGCAAAGACTGTCATGCCGTCCCTTCAAACTTAGCGAAGATTTTAGAGCATGATATTGTTGATATGCCCCCGACCAATATTCACTGTTATTGGATAGTCGCGAATTGGAGGGAGATCCGAGTTTATGCCAATATCACAGGGGATAAAGTATTTAAAGTTTCTCTGTCCTCTCAAGAAGCAATTGATTTCCTCAATCCCGTATACGCTCATGGTAAGGGTCCCCAGTGTGCAATGATCTCGTAAATGTTCACTCTCTGCTCATAGGTTCGGTTGTTCTCTGCTCAATTTCTCGTGACAGTATAGTCATATATTCTCTTCCCGCACTTGAAGCATTACATTCCTTCAAACTCCCAGTATTGTTGCAACCACGGTACGTGTATGTTCCAACTGAAAAAAATAAATAAAATAAAACTTTTTTATCTCGTATAATAGAAGCTTTCTTTCTTGGACAACAGCTGGAGATGGGTTGCAGACCAATAGTGTCGGCACTGGGATGACGCTTACCTTCATACACCTTTTATCCCAATCCAACTCATCTCATTCTGGAGCCGTGAATTTCCGCCTCTATAAAAATACAATCTCTGAGAATACTGTCAACAAAAGCCAAGTTCCCGCTGCCAATAATACCTGGGGAACAGCCTTCACTGGTTGGATTAAAGGATTAGGTCAATCGACAACTTTCACTGGCGACGATATTGACCTGATTTGTATGTTGTCAACCTTTACTATTGAGAGCAAATTTTCTCACTCCTTCTGGGTAGTAACTGATCAAAGACCTGAAGAGAACGTTTTACCATCGACATTGCGTCCTGAGAAGCAGGGGCAGATCTTAGCTGGGGCAGCAGCATCACTGAGCACGTGGGGCCCGGAGGTTTATCGGCAGATGTCAGCTGCGGCGGCTGAGCGAGGGTAAGAGTTGACTTGTGTTATTGTGTGAAAAAAAATAAACCGAACGATTACTTTATTAAGAGAGCGCTTAGGCGAGCTTCAGGTAGGCATTGAGTTCATTTTGACTACACATTCCATGCTGTATTGCTGATGGGTAACGGCCAGGAACATTTCCAACAACTCGAAGTTGGTAGTAGGGATTTGGCTACACAGGTGCGTTTGGGATGTGCCTTAGCTTGTAACTTTCCATTTTAAATGTGGACTTGTAGGCGAAACGGATGGCAGAGAAACAAGCAGCGAAAAGCTGGTTTCAGTTTTGATTAAGCGAATCTTTAATAATATCCCATTATTGACCTGGAAGGACATTTTATCGATGTTAGTGAAACAGGAGAGCCGTCCGCCTGAATCAGTGGTTTATCCTTTACGTGCCTGACAACTAGAATCGGGCAACTTGCTATTTCTTGGAACACCCTTCGAACAAGAGTACAAAGTACAATATGAAGCCTTAACTAATGTATGTGTGCAGGAATTTTTCCAAAATGTCTTAGGCGGGACTGCGACTAGTGTGTGCCGAAGATAAAGAGAAGAAGTATTGCAAATGTACTTTGATAGAGGTCGTGTCAAAACTGAGAGGATTAACCGAGGGATTTTTTTGATTTTTGAAGATAGCGAGCATCGGGTGGCGGGTACTGGTCGGCTGAATTCAATCACGAAGAAATTTTTTACTATCTTGCAATTACATAGTATAACCTCGTACGATTCTCGATTCCAGCCGAGGGCTCCTTATCCTAGTAAAACATCGTCCAGCTCTTTGTAAACCTACAAGATTAAACATGTAAGTCAAAGTCACCACTACTGGAATGTCAAAGTCAACATACACTTCAGATTGTCGATGAAACCTAACTTCACCCTAGGATTAACCTTGTTTCCGTTCTTGGAACGAATTGTATAAACTCTAACACTATGGGGATTTCTGCGTTGTCATGAGCACTAAGGGAGTGTAACAGAGAGATTCTAGATTCTTGTGTAGCATGTAACACTTTGTGGCAAGCCCGTATGTAGAGGTCGATATTTCGGTGTTGGACGGGGCCGTCCAACCACGCACGACATGCTTGCTATACCTTACTATACTTCGTTCCTGCTAAAGAATTTAACATACTATGATAAATTTTCGTTCTAGTAGGAATATTTGCGAGACTTGTCGGTTACAAACTATCTTAAGCAGACTTGTTCTTGTCATACCTGAAGCCTTGATTATTCTTGTGCGGTGGCGCAAGCCCTGTCTGGATTTGGTGATTGCTGTATCTGCCAATTACCTGGAGCATTGTACGTCGCCACAATGTCCCGGATTTGATAAGCAAAGGAAATAGATCGGGGAAAAGCAATGCGACCTTTCCTTATCATGCGGAGGAAATGAGACAAAAAAACCAAAAAATAAGCCTAAATCAACTCTTTCCGTCTACATTGACACGGGGCATAGTCGCATAGGGTGGTTAACCCGACGATCAGACCGTCCCTCTTGGGCTCACGCAGATCGTATTGCGTGGGACAAATAGTTAATTAATATTTAAATAAAATCCTTGCCAGAACCCCATGGTGAATCCTGGACGGAAAAACCCCCAATCCCGTCTTGGCTCGTGGTTAATAAGGGATACTTTTTTGAGGCGTGCACCGCCTGGTAACTGCGGATTCTTACAGACCTAGAGTTTGGGACATACTAATAGTTTGTAGGTCCATTACTAAAGCCAGGCTGAGAAAAAAAAATTTTTTTTTCATGACTTGAGGGAAAATCGTTTGCTTAATCCCTAGACCCGAGAACTTAATTACTCGAGCTCGGGGCGGTGCCGACAGCACTTAATTTGAGACTCTTCGGACGCTCCATCGCATAGTGATCGTTGTTAGCTCCTTGGTATCATTTATACCCCACCTGCAGAGCTGGTACCTCGCGGGCTGCTTGGCTAAGGGGTTACGGCGTCGCACTTGTACAACGGGCGTTATGCGAAGATCAGGAGTTCAAATCTCCTAGTAGCCTTCACTTTTGTTGTGCACCGCTCAGGATTCTGATTTGTATTTTGAGTTGTCGAACGTTGGTGGGGTTCGTTCTACTTTTGGTTTCTGAATTGGATAGGATAATATCGCGGAATTCTTAACATTTATGTAACTTTTGAATGACATGCATCCTGGCAGGTACGGTGTCTGATGGATGACAAGTTCCAGTCATGATTTAATATTAATCCACCGGAAAGGATATGAACGCCATCTATAAATCATGGCCATATATGCATTATACGCTCCACCGGCCATCATAATCCTTCTATGCCATTTCATCTATATATATGAATTTGATAAAATTCAACATACATTACAAATTATTCAATCTACCAATTTCGTACACTGGCTTTTGTGTGAATATGAATCAAAGCTCTACCTCCAATGGTAACTGCCACGTCAAGCCCAAATTACTGGCATGCTATAAGGAAAGGTCAGTGATGCGCAGCAGCGGCGTTGACGGGTTTCAATGATATGGCTTTATTTAATATGGCGTCATACGTGCCACCCTAGACTGAACCAGAGTTCAAACGTTCACCTTCCGTCCGATGAGGCATTCCCCATAGGCCCCTCAATCGGTCACAGGTTTGCCTGTAAAGAAGATGCAGAAGACCATGGATTAATTACTATATTCTTTGGAGGTGCTGCCGTAGGCACTACTTACATAATTTTTAATTAGTACTATGACAGCGCCATCTCCGACTTACTTCAGTTTATACAGGGCTGGTTATTCCCCCAAGAAAGCCCTGTCCAAGAACATACCCCATTTCAACTTCTGGCCCTTCTTTTGACCTTCGCGCTCCCCTGCAATTAATTCATCGGTGGGGTATTACATACTAACATAGCCTTATAAAAACATATAAACATTTCAACCACCAAGTGTGATATCATGATCTTCAGGTACGGCTGCTTCGTTGCCGGTGACGCCCATAATACTTTATACAATATACAACGTTTTTGGGAAGGCTCACAAGCCTTTATGCTATTATCAGCGGAGTTGTTTTTCTTATAAATTATTATTCCCGATGAACGGTAGGTTTTTTGTTCCAGTTTTTGCAAGGGTTTTCAAGGTTAACACTCCATGCTGAGCGGCTGTGATACATTTCAAAATGACAAACTGAGGTTGCGGAATGACTCGGACTTCGGTGAAAGTGAGCGGCACGCCGAACATACCTTGTCATCTCAGCACATCCTGTACAGCTATCCGTCGAGCCATCAAAATTGCCACAGCGCGGATAGGGTCATTTCCGGCATGGATTCACGTTGTATTTAGAATATTTGTTTGGGGTAGAATCTTTTTTTATTATCAACTAGAAATATCATTATGAAAGTAAGTGCCAACCTTGCTGTGTAGTGGCAGTGCTTGTGTAGCTGTAGCACTCGGAAATAGCTAGAGAAATACAGCAACGTTCGTACTACACGTGTGACTGACGGACGACTCTCTCGAGTCGATACTTAAATCATATTACTATTTTATTGTGCATATGTAAACGCCAATGCCCAGGCGAAACGCGCGCGAACAGCAGTATGCTCCTCCGGGAAATACATCAATATTCACAGATCATGGAGCGGCGTTTCTCAGTCTCAATAGACACTACGCGGCAGCGGGAACAGCCAGAGTATTTCTCTTAAGGCGTGATTCAAATTACGATGACGTTGTATCTATTGGCAGGAACAGACAATATGATGACAATCATGAGGTGATTTTGGAACTGGGAGATGGCAATTCCCCGTCCGCGGTGTCAATGTGAGAAGCAGAAGCATATATACATAGGTATGTTCTAGAGTCATTTAAAGCTTGCATGCATACTGGGACTAGAGATTGAAATCGGTGCGACCGCAAGAAAATATGGTTGTGCAAGTTGTAGATGACGATGTCGATCGCGTCTGTGACTGGATACGTTATAATTATCTCGCAGCGTCTGACTCAGGTCGGGTATTAAGTACTAAGCCCTGTGTACACTCGGATCTGATGGATCGGTTGAGAATGAATATATAGAGGCATCTAAATGAAGGCTGAACTGCCAATGTGTTGTAGACGACTGTCATAGGTGGATATTGATGGCGTCGCACATTCTTCGGCTACGATGCAACGTGTGCACCGAATGTACAGGCACTGTAGAACTAGATAGTACGGCGTTATACTGAAATATATTGCTCCAGCAAACCCAACCCCATTATCCCGCCTAAGAGGAAGATGGGAGTAAATGGAGACAGAGGCCTGAGGAGAGTCCCGAGAGCAGTGGTACCTTTACCCTGTGCTTTCCTGGGCATACTGCTTCTTTCAGACATTTAGGATCTCGGAGGTGCTTCATGACCGTTAAATAATACCAGTTGGGCTGCCCTAAGACCGTGGCGCAACAACAGAGCGGTAAACAGAAAAAGGGTCCGAAATAGACGCTGACAGTCACGCCTATTGTCGCCTTTCGAATTTTATGTTGGAAATTTTTTCTGGAAAAGTGACTATATGCGCCTCCTCTAATCGTTCCTATCCACCTCAACATATATAAATCCCCCTTTCCGTCTCTCCTCTGTTCCTCATCCACCACCATTACAATGAGTCCTGCCTCAGCCGTCTACCCTACTGACAAAGACCGCATCGACGAGTACCTCGACGATAAGCGTGTCATTGGTGTATGTCCTCCTCCTCTCAGTCTTAAGTCTAGTCCTCTCACTACTCTTCCTCTGCCTGCTCTCTCTTACCTTACCCCGGGCACTTCCCCGACTCCCTCTGCTTCGTCTTCAATTCTCGATGACGATGGCGAATCCGCCCTCTCAACACCAACCACTTCATCCGCCTCCGCCTCACTCGCTTCTCTCACCGACTCTTCCTACCTTCAGTACGAGCCACTCATCCAACCCGCCCTTATCAAGCATGAAATTGTCCCATCTGCCCGCTCCCGCCGAACAATCGCCAACGCACGATACGACGCGTCCCGCATCATTGCGGGCCAAGACGACCGTGTCCTCGTCATCGTCGGTCCCTGCTCTATCCACAGCACACAGCAAGCAATCGAGTATGCTCATCTCTTAAAAGCAAAAATTGCCACTTGGCCCAACTTGTTAATTGTCATGCGAAGTTACTTGTGAGATATTCACATGTTTTCCCCATCCCCCCATATTCACCGCCTGAATACAGTGAGAAGCCACGCACGACTGTTGGATGGAAGGGACTTATTAATGATCCCGATATCGATGGCTCTTTCAAGATCAACAAAGGCCTTCATGTCGCAAGACAATTACTCTGTGATTTGACCGATTTGGGTGTCCCTGTTGGATTGGAGTTGTTGGATACCATCAGTCCCCAGTACCTCGCCGTGAGTTTCGCAAAGAGTTGCATCGTTATCACGCGCACACCTGAACACACACTTAACTAGGACCTCGTATCCTGGGGTGCCATCGGCGCACGCACAACGGAATCCCAACTCCACCGTGAACTCGCCTCTGGCTCCTCTTTCCCCATCGGTTTCAAGAATGGTACAGACGGCAGTGTTACCGTCGCCGTCGATGCTATGCGCAGTGCAGAAAGGCCACACGCGTTCATGGGTGTTACAACGCAGGTGCGTTGGACAAATGACGCGTGCTGCTTCTGTCCGTTTATTAATACAAACGCTGCTCTCAGGGTCTTGCAGCGATTGTAAAAACTCGCGGCAACACGGACGTACATATCATCCTCCGCGGTGGCTCTTCCGGGCCGAATTATGCCAGCGAGCACGTCCAGAAGGCGGCAGCAGCAGTGAAGAAGGCCCGCCCGGACTACCACAATAGCTTGATGGTGGATTGCAGTCGTGCGTATTTTGTTCAATCTCTTCCTCCTCGCCCAAAATACCATTCATCTCGCCCTTCTAACACCCTTTTCTCCAGACGGTAATTCGTCCAAAAATCACCTCAACCAGCCCATCGTTCTTGCCTCGCTCGGTGATCAAATCAGTGCTGGTTCGACGGCTATCACTGGGGTCATGCTTGAGTCACACATCAACGGTGGCAGGCAGGACGTTCCCAAGGTTGTGGAACAGGGCAAAAGCGTTATGGACATGTTGAAACATGGCGTCAGTATTACTGATGCATGTGTTGACTGGGCTATGACGGTGGATATGTTAGATGGGTTGAATGAGGTGGGTATTTGTTCTTTCTTTCGGTTTGCTTTATTTTATTTCATTGTTTCATTTTTGTTTTTTTTTCGTCCCATCTCGTATCCCTTGTGCATCAAACTAACTTTACCTTTGCTTTCCCTAGGCCGTCGGAAAACGCCGTACCCTCCTCGCCTCACAAAAACTCAACGGAAACGGCCATGTTAACGGCTCGAGTACGGGGAATAATTCGAGTAATAACTCAAGTAATTAATGGGGTTGAGGGGGTTTATGAGCGATCAATCACCCTTCCTCATCACGTCTTCTGATTCATCAACGGATTGACTGACAATAGCACCATCTCCTTTCTTGCACTGGCATTGTTATTTATATAAAGAAATAATGAAGTGACATAATCATTGGATTCTTCTTGTGACTCGGCGAAAGCCGCAAGGACCATGAGGATAAATCTTAAAGTCAATGTTAAGTACTGCTTCCGGTTTGAATAATAGAGAGTATTTGCAACTAATATATATTAGCAAACTGAATGGTGTTCCTGATATAAATATTAGGAACCCATTCAGTTTGCTAATATTGCATTAGTTGCAAATACTCTCTAATAGTAAGTCTGTGGAACTTTCCGCACTCTATGGTTGGGTCACTAAGCGTGGTATGATATAATGGCGATGGCTATGGCTGCCGATAAACCCGATGATGGCTGTACGTTTGGGTCATTAGGCCTGTGTGATATGACGGCTATGGCTGCCGACAAACCCGATGATGGCGTTACATAGAACTGGTTCCGAATTATTGGTGAACAGGACTAATTAGGATTGGCCTATGATGCCACATCTGGTCTCCTCTCGGCCGGTTAACGCCAAAATCACTGCTTATTCACCTAGATAAACAAGCG